CCCCAAAACCCCAAAACCCCAAAACCCCATAAAATAGATAACTCAATTTAGCTGTGATTACATTAAATAAATCATATTCTGATCATAATTTGATTATAAATAAATTCAAACTCATAAAATGCCCTGGCAGCAGTATTGAAACTTATCATAGGCTTTAGTTCTCCAGTTGTCATAACTACTCTCAACTAGGGAATCAACATACTTGGCGCACTCCATCTCAGTTAGCAGATGACCCAGTGGGAAAATTCTTTGCTTTAGTTCCTTGATCAAGTTTTCTCCCTCTTTAAAGCAGGGGAGGTCAGACTGACTCATAAACATCATTTCAACCAGCTTGATGATCTTATCAGCGTGCTCTTGGATAGCAATGAATCCCAGTCGCATCAATTCTCGATACTCTCTGAATTTCTTTGATTTTATTCCTCCTAGGACATCCACCATTTCTTAAGTTAGCTTGAATGGTGCTAACTCGAACCTGATGCCTTTGCCTGGGGCATTTGACAACAAAAATCCAAAATCAATATGCATAATATGCCCCTCAATATCAACTAAAATGTTTCCATTGTGTCTATCTTTGATTTAGAGTACGAAGCATACCAGTGAATATGCTGCTAGTGATTTACAGAAATTATCCCGAGCCTTTTCAAACTCTAAAATACTATAACTAATATTAGTGCTTACTTTTAGATTTGTTATCGCCAAATTATTTATGGAAGTAGTCTAGGAGTTTAGCATTAGGACCTGTTGAGAGCTTTCTCTTAATTCCATCAATAGATATCGCATCAGAGACTACCTCTATTAGTCCACATCGAGGACCTGTTGCTAAGATCTCATAAGGTCTGAGCCATAAATTGCATTTCTTGAGTTTGAATATCTAATCTATTTGACTTATCAGCTGCATCGCAAATTACTCTTGCCTAACATCATCGTTGCTCTTCACTATGATCTTAATCAGTCTCCAAGTTCTTAAACTCCCAAACGGTGACTACAGTCTAACTCTCTAGTCTTGCTCATGGCCTGTTTCCAAGAAAATGTTATTAGTTGGTCTATTCTCAAAGAAAGCCTTAGTAGTTTCAGTCGGTCTCTTCTTCTTTTAGCCCTCTTCTATCTACTTCTGGACTTGCATAGCATTCTTTTCAAAGATCAACTCATCAAGTTTGTCTTTCTCTGAGGGACTAAGCATAGACATAGATCTCCTATCTCCCTCAGCAAAAGTCAAGAGCCTTTCATTGTTTACTAGCTATTCCTGAATTTGCTTCAATCTTTTACTCTGATTATCCTCTTTAGGCTACTTTTCCTCTTCCACAGTGTTTATAGATAGATCAGAGCGGTCTTTCCTTTTAGTGGGGCTTTCCAGAATCAATATTTTATGCTTTTAATCTTCTGAGCTTACAAATGTATTTTTAAGATTTTGAACACCTTAGTTTACTATGTCGGAGTTGTTATAATAGACTTTTATATTACCTTGCAAATTGGGATTGACTTCTTAGGAGATGTGATTATCAGAGACCTTGCTTTCTGGCAGGTTAGAACTGTTATCATTCTTGAGATAGGACAACATGTTTTAAGCGTCAAAATTTGAATATCTTGCATCTTTATTATCCAAGAAATCTATTGCTGCAATGATATAGGTTAATTTACTTTTATTTTCATTAGTTGAATATGAAGGCTTCAGGATGAATTCATTCAAGTCACTGTTAGCAGACTTATCCTCATCCTTTGGAGCTACTTTGCTTGATTTATTATCAATCTACTCCTTTTTCTGCTTCTCTATAAAATCATCTTAGTCTTCAAGTGTTTATGGAAACATCAGCTTGTCCAGCTCATCCTAGTTTTCTTCGGGTATTGATTTCAGCCCTAAAACTGTTGAATTTATATTGATTACCCCTGATTTTGCTCTTTTTGAATATACCTGAGGCTTGTTTCATGTAGTTGTTCATGTAGTTATCATTCACTTTCACCTTCTCTAGAAATGAGTCTGACTATAATCAATTATAAAATCTTCACTGCTCTGACTTACCCTTTTAAGCTGGTTGATGATCAGAGGATTAGAAGCCTTCTTGTCAAGCATCTTGTTGATCTTCATCATGTGTATCTCATCCTTCTCCATCTCTGCCTTAGTCATTCGAGACACTCCCTCTTCGTGATCATACTCGATATTATTTCTAGCGGTTCTTCGCATGCTTAACTTCTATTTAACATCTTTAGCTACATTAAGACCTTGTTCTTGTTGAATACCGATTCTCTCGGTCTATCTCACTGTCTTATCATCATTTTTCTTACTCAAACTTAAAAACTGATTCTTTGAGCTAGGCTACTCATCTTTCCTTTTGACCAGTGGGGCTTTCAGTTCTTCTATAGTAAGCTTAGAAGAGTTCCAAGAGGAACTTCTTTGCTTTTAAGAATCATTCCTCGTATTTCTATTTGCTCTGGATCTATTATTTCTTTATGAAATTGGCTTTGGTGGTTGAATAAGATAAAGTTCCTCTGGTCTAAATGCTTCTATACAAAGTAGCAAAGGAGCTCTTTCTTTAGTTTAGAATATTTTAGCTTCTCCAGTCACTATGTGAAGCACAGCATAATTTCTGATAGAATCTAAAATATAATTCAATAATTAGTATTTTACCATTAACAAAGGGTATATAAACTGAAGCAGGCAGACTAAGGTTGAGTTTAAGGATCTCATTCTTTAGGTATTCATCTCTATTTGCAACAGTTATTAACTTAAGTGAAATTTCAGTCAAAGTTTTTATGAACTTAGGGGTAGACAAATATGAATTTAGGCCTATAATTACTGTTAAATAATGTTAGAAAGTTACAGTCATTCCTCATTTTCTAATCAGCCACCAGAGAATTCCTGATATTGGCTGTATTGTTCTAGGTAGAGTCCTTAAAAGACTTGACTTCTTCCTCTATCTTGAAAGGATTCAAAATGATATCTTTAGCTGTAATGACGATCTCATCCTCAAAAACCTCTGGTTCTTCATTGACTCTTGATTTCTCAAAGGACAGTCCTTCCTAATTACTCCTTTCTAGCTAATTTATTCCGCTTGATACTTTATTGCTCTAAGTTCTCTCTATGGAATGAGAAAAATTCTAAGAATACTCCAAGATTACTCTTTTAACTCTATGAAGCCTGGAGTTTTCTTATTCTGATTTCTCATCCTTATCTTCATTATTAGGCATGGTATTCTAGATGCCTTGAACTTATTTTTAATAAATGTCGCTTACTTTTCTTTCATTTTTTAATTGTAAATATCTAATCAATTCTTGAAGACCAGGGTGCTACTCAAGCAATCCAAACTATTGTATCAATTTAACGATTGAGCTTGAATTAGCTAGATACAGTCTCTCCTTAGATTTAAGGCATGCATCTTTAATTCCTCTAAGCGCTAAGCTCGATTTCTTATACATCTCCTTGCTTTCATTGTCAGAACCAATAAGCATAGATTGGAAAAAGAACCAGACTCTGTGGGAGAAGAAAAAACTTGATGACGAAGCCATTACAATCAAATTCACCAGATCTTCTGGGAATTTATGATCTCCTTTTACGTAAAAGGAGCACAACTATGGAATGAAAAACTCCAAATCACTTCTGAATTAAGAAGTGAAATCTGGGTTTACTCTCACAGCCTCAAGTTCCTTGATTGCAGTCTTTTCATGCGCATATAACCTAATAAGCAAGGAAAGTGCGTCCTCATTTCGATTATTACTTAGCCCCTAAATTTTGTATTAATACTTGAATCTCTTGCCAAAAATGTAGATTAATTGTTTTACTTACAAATTTAAGCCATTTACCAAATCTAAGTTTGAAGTTGTCTTATTTTAGTCGGATTCCACCCTATTCACAACAGCAGCAGCAAAACAAGTAATAGCAACAGCAGCATAATCTCCAGCAGCATTCTAAAATATTCAAACTCTCTTATCTTACAAGTTTTTCTTTTTTCTTCAGCAGGGACAAGCATTTTCATCTTACCATTTGGTACTGATTCAGCAGGCATGGGCGCTTGCATTGCTTTTTCCTCTAGGATCTCTGATTTTCCATCATGAATGGATGTCTCCTCTGTAATGTAGTTATTTTTCTTCATTTAGCCAAAATTATTATTTAATATTTTGTAAAAAATTGATAAAGAAGATTACAATAAATCAATCTAATGATGATATCATGGGGTTTTGGGGTTTTGGGGTTTTGGGG